CGAATAAGATAAATAAACATACATTTTTTTATTATTATTATGGAAGAGTCATGGAAGAGTATTAATATTAAGGAACAAATACTAAATGAAATAATAAAAAAAGTCCGAAAGTTTAACGATTACATAACAAGATTCCAAGGATTAATAGAAAAAATGATAAACGGACGAATTTGGTCTACCACTAAATAAAAAAAGTAAATTTATGAAAATTACCAAGAAACATATCAACAGTATGAACCTGTGTATAAATACCGAAAGAATAAAACCAATACAAAACAGCAAGTATTTGAAAAAGATGATAAGATATTAAAAAATTATTATATACATCATCATCGTCTGTTGACGCTGAGCCTTTCGTGAGTTCTGGCCTGTCTTACAACATTCTTCCATCCTTCCAATGGTCTCGAGATTGGTATGGTGTTGATACAAGCATGCTATTTAGGGTGGCAGTGAATAAAATTAAGATAGCTATGATGGTAACCAACGTTCTGAAAGGACATGGTACATGAAGAAGAATATACTTCCTTGTGTTCTCCATCCTCTTGCTCCAATCTCTCTTAAATCGTCCCGCACATCGTCTAGATATCTGAGTTTAGGTCGCTACCCTCCTCTTTTTCTGACCGGCCTAATTAGCATGATTAGACTTATTACCAAAATGCCTATATAATTCGAAATTTTCTCGCCTTCTCCACAGACCCTTTTCGTTAACTCCGCCATGCATGGTCCCCAATACTTTTCTTTCAAAGATTCGTAGCAAATATGGTAAGGATATAAGACCGATCTCAAACTTATATCTCCAACAAAAAGCAATAGTACGATTAGAAAATGAACTATCCGAGATCTTTACAGTCGAAAAAGGAGTTAGACAGGTTGCATATTGTCATCGGAATTATTTAACATATACTCTGAAAACATCTTTAGAGAGGCCTTTGACGAATCAGAAGATGGGATTGCTGTAAATGGCCAACTTATAAACATTAGATATGCAGACGATACTGTGTTGCTGGCAGATAGTGCGCAGGGGCTCCAAAGGATGATGGATAACGTTGTAGAAGCATGTAACAAATACGGCCTAAAACTAAATAATGATCATTAGTAAGAACACCTGCATAAACGCTCAAACTACAATTAACGATACACCGTTAGAAAGGGTGGAAAAAATATGCTACTTGGGCTGCAATATTAAATATTCTTGAGATCACAGCTACGAAATAAAAACTCGTATTGATGTATTGATGAACTTTTATGTATCTTACGATGTTTCCTTTCCCGAAGAGAGTCTCTATTTCATTGTTGTATCTGCTCCTTCATTCATTTGTCACGCTGTCCCTGCAAGGACCGTATATAATTCGCAGGATTTTGCGTTCCCATACTAATAGCTTATTGATTTCTTTCTTTCTCAATGTCCATGTTTCACTTCCATATGTCACTGCTGGTCGTATTATGGTTTTGTACATTTGGATTTTGGCACGCCTTGAGAGAAGCTTTGACCTCATTAGATGTTGAATGGCAAAGAATGATTTATTCCCCTCCAGTATTCGTATTTCAACCTCCCGTTCTCCTGTATTTTTACTGGTAATTGTTGCTCCTAGGTATTTGAATTCTTTGACCACCTCAAAATTATGAACGTTTATGGTAATGTTTTGTCTTATTCGCTGTCGTTCCTTTTTTGATACGACCATGTATTTAGTTTTTTCTTCGTTTATTTTCAGGCCTACGCTTAGTGTTGCTTCTTCAAAGTTCGATACTATATCCTTAACTTTCAGTGTTGTCTGTGCTACTGCATCTACATCATCTGCAAATGCGAGAATAATCTTTGCTCCTCTGGCAGTTATGTCTGGTTTGACTCTGGTATAGATTTTTCGCATTGCGTATTCCAATGCTAGGTTAAATAGTAATGGGGACAGCGGGTCTCCCTGTCTGAGCCCGGTGCTTATGCCGAAAGCCTTTGAAGTTTTGCCTCCTATTCTAATTTGTGCAAAGGAATTGTTGACACACATTCGCGCAATCATGGTCAGCTTCTTTGGTACGCCTAACGCCATCATTGCACTCCACAGTTTTAAGCGATCTATGGAATCATGTGCTTGTTTGAAATCTATGAAGATCTGATGTACTTCTTTATTATATTCCCAATACTTTTCTAGCATTTGTCTGATAGTAAATATTTGGTCGATTGTTGATCTTCCAGGCCTAAAGCCGCATTGGTAATCGCCAATAATTTCCTCTGTATATGGCAGTAATCGTTTTAGTACAACTGAAGCTAATATCTTATATGTAGTACCGATTAGTGAGATTCCCCTGTAGTTGCCACATGTATACTTTCTGCTTTTTTTATGTATTGGCACGATAATACAGCCACTCCATTCTTTTGGCATTATTTCTTGTTCCCAGGCTTCTTTCATTAATTGGTGTATTTTAGTTCTAAGTTCATGCCCTCCTTTTTTAATCAGTTCTGCATCAATATTGTCTAGTCCCGGGGATTTGTCATTTTTTAGGGTTTCTATCGCCGTGATAATTTGTTCCAGGCTTGGCGGGGGTACTTCTATCTCGGCTGTTTGGTACTCTACTCTACTATATTAGTAACCGCTTTTTGTTAATAGACATATTAGCGTCACAGAGTTAGTTGCCGTACTACTCCGAAATGGCTGGACCGATTTTTATGAAATTTTACATATATAAATTCGGTAGGTCTGAGAATATGTTGTAATCTATTTTTCATGCCCTTGAGTTGTAAGGATTGTTCACCCAAACATTTTTTTTATTTTTTGGACGTTTTATATTTTTATTTTTTTATGAAATTAGATGAAATTTATAAAAATTTTATGAAATTTAATGCCACAAAAGTGACTTTAAATCTAATTTAAAATTCTTTTTTAATATCTGACATTAAAAAATACATATAAAAAACAAAATTGAGAGCTAGATATAATTGATTTGTTATCCAAAATAATGTGTTTTAGGATCTTTGATTAAGATTTCAAAATTTTTACTTATTATTGGTACTATGTTAATAGGACAAGTGACAGATGTCATAGAAAAAATTGCACAAGCTAAATGGAGATGGGCTGGACATATAGCACGTTTAAATGATAATAGGTGGACCAATATACTCATAGAATGGAGACCTAGAGAAGACAAAAGACACCGAGGCAGACCACCAAAAAGATGGATGGACGACTTGACAAAAACAGTCGGAAATTGGATACAGAAGGCGCAAGATAGAGAACAGTGGAAGAACATGGAAGAGACCTATATCCAACAGTGGATGCAAGAGGTTAAGGAATGATGATAATGGTAATAGGTCTGTAATTTTATTGTTTGAAGCATTTTTATTTCTTTTTTTATGAATGGGAATTACTTTTGATATTTTGAATATGTCAGGCCAGTAACCCTTATTAATAAATTTGCTAAATATTATTGTGAGTGGTTCAATAATTAGATCTAGAGATGACTTAATAACTTTACTGTTAAAACCATAGTAGTCAACACAGAAACTTTTTAATTTGTATATGCATTCTTTTACATCTGATGCTACTATTTTGACCATAAAGAACGAACTTGACCTTCTAGTTAGCCTACTAAGATAGCAGTTTGTGTCATGCTCAGAGTTTCCTATTGATTTCGATATAATATCTGCTACATTCGTAAAGTATTGGTTAATCTCTTCTGGTGTAGCTTAGATTGGACGTAGTGTTTTCCTTATAGGTTTATTTTTTAACAATACTCCATATTGTCTTACTTTTGTAAGTGAATTTGTTTATTATGTTAGTATAAGCAGTACGTTTTTTAGCTTTTATTTCTTGCTGGTATTTCTTTCGCATTTGACAATATTTAATCCAACTGTCAGTCGTGTTTTCCTATAAGTTGCTTTACAATCATAGAGTTGTTTTGTTAAATTTCGAAATTTGCGATTAAACCAATGAATAACACGTTTTCTGCTATTCACGTTCTTTAAAGGAAAACCAATGCTGTATTTTTCACACACATATCTCATACACAACTGTCATGTTGGTTGAATTATAGTGGAAATCGTCAAACACAGTTTTAATATTTTTTTGATTAATTAATCTTAATATAAAATAGTGAATTAAACAAATTATATTAGAATTTGCTAGAATTATGGCAGTGGCAGATTTACGAAACAAATGCCCAAAAAAGTAGATGAATATGATAGAGCGATGAAAAATAAAGATGCGTCTTGAAGACCTGTTGATATTTTTTATACATGATCTTTACAAATTATTTTTGTTATAAATGTGACTGCAAATCATTTGAGTTATAGCTTTATCACATAAACAATAAAGAAGATACTTTTCTCAGTATATAACCAGCATTCCAAATATTCACAATCTGCATTACCACTACCAATACAACCAATACCCCGATAAATATTGAAAAAGCCGAAAATGGTCGGGGGTGGGTGAGTTTCGCAGGGCAGCTGGGTTGAATAAAAGAACTCGGTGACGAACCTCAGGGGGTCGAAACCCCTCCCGCTCATACACTTCGGGGTACAGTTGACAATGTTCGACATCAATCCGGCGAACGTGCCTGGACCGAAGGCCAGATTTATTTTAGTAGTTGCAATTTTATGTCAATCTGTGTGCTAGTGTAGTGAAAAGTTACCATGAGTGCTTCGACGGACTTTTCCTGCGATTACTGGAATCCCAACCACTACTATAGGTAATTAGTATTCGTTTATTAACCTATCATAACACTATTATAATAGTTTAGATTTATATATTAATTACATTGCTCTTAAATACAGAACTTAGTATTAAGTTTTGTTTTTAGTAAAAACAATAAATTCAATTGCTACGATTTCACTAAAGATTTTTGTATATACATACATATTTTGTATTTGAATTAACGTGAATAACACAAAAATTAAATATTAATATAACTATCGCATATTTATGGTAATGATAGATTTATTGGTCTATTAAAAAGAGTAAATTTGACAAAATGTCATTTTAGTTTCAGCCTTTATATAAAAAATTAATATGAATGAAAAATTTCTTCTAGTTTCTTACGAAACTGGACTTTTTACGTAAGTAAGTTTCCTTCCTTTGTGTGCGCTTTGATTTTCTTCCTGTTCATATTTTAAGGTAACATTAATTACAAAAATTAATTTCATACATGAAACGTTCTAGAATAGAACCTTTTTCGATTTAGTGCATCAATCTGCACTTTCTAAGACTAATTACATCTTTAACATAACTAAGCGTATTATACAATTTTATTATACACATAAGTCTACATATTTGTGTGGTTTGGTTTGTGTGGTCATCTCGTTTGCTTCTTAGATATTCTCCAGGATTAAACAGTTTCCACGTATGGTGTGGCGAGGTATTCTCGTGTTTTCAGCGTAATTACAAATCGCTATAGATTTTTTTTGTTGATTACGTAGTGGTATCAGTTTTAAGTTATTAGGGGAAATTGTTTTGGCTACTTTAGATAGTTTGTCTTTTAGATGACATAATACAAGAAGGCTCCTTAATAAATTAGATGATTAGAATACCATCCTTAACATAAAAAGATGTAATCCATTAGAAAAATTTTGTCTTCTGTCCATTATAGTCATCTGGACTTAATTCTTTTATTATGTTAGCATATAGATATAGTTTTTCGAGCTCTTTGTTAGTTCTTCTTCTCCTTCTTTTATATAGATATGGCTCTGTCTGTTTTTTAATGTGCCTCCACTAATTTGTCGTTCCATCGGTTTCGTGGTCTTCCTACTGATCGTCTTCCTATTAAGGAATTGTCTCTTGCCATCTGTACTACTCTATTTGTTGTAATTTGACTTATGTGATCATTATATTCTACTCTTCTATATCTTACACAGTTCTACGTCGTATATCTGTACTTCCAGCTCTGTTCCATACTGTTTTACCAACAATTTTTCAAGTGTTTTTATCTTTGCTATTCCTAACATCCTTTTTGTCCTACTTATCTACTATGTCAGGTCGTGTTTCTGCCACGTTTATTATTATTGGTCTAATGACTGTGTTGTAAATTCTGTCTTTTATTTCTTGCCCGATATTTTTATTTCTCTATTTTGTTTTATTCAGGCAACCTCTGTTTGCCCTTTGTTAGTTAAAATTCTATATTGTCCTCCTGAGAATATGAGCTACTTTGGTCATATACTAAGAAACGAGAAATACGAATTGATGCGGCTGGTGATACAAGGGAAGGTGAAAGACAAAAGAGGACCGGGGAGAAGACGCATGTCCTGGTTGAAGAATCTGAGACAATGGAGTGGGAAAACGTCAATAGAACTTTTTAGAACGCCTGCATATAGAGTCAAATGTGCTATGATGAGCGCCAATGTCCTTAGGGATGGGCACGTTACGAAAAATATTTGTCCTCCAGCTCCATTAAGCACAGTCCCAACGATCTTTCTTAGAATTTTTCTTTTCCAAACACAATTTGCTCTTCGTTTGCCTTTGATATTGTCGACATTTTGTATAGTTGTATCTTTGCTATGTATTGTTATTTGTTTCGATTTTATAAGGTTTTGAAGGGCATTAAGAGATCTTTTGCAGGCTTCTATTATATTTTTGATTATTTGTGAACAGTTATTGTCTTTCCAAGTTATTGTTATTCCAAGATACTTAAATTCTCTAACGCACCCAAAGTTAAAGACATCGATGGTGATGTTGATGTTTTGTCCGATTCTCTCTCTGTTTAGGTTATTACGGCTCATACGCATATACCTAGTTTTGTTTTCATCGATTAGGAGCCCCATCTTCTCTGCTTTCTTATTAAACCTGAAAAAAGTCTTTTCCATCCTTAATCTGGTGCTTCCTATCGGATGGGTACTCTCTGTAAATGCCAACAGTAAGTTAGGTCCTTCTTGATAGAATACTGTAGCCGGTTTTTCGATTCTTGCAATCTTGATTATGTCTTTCAGAGCAGCTCCAAATTAAAAAGTTGTGGTGAAAGTGCATCTTTCTGTTTTAGTCCATTATTTATCTCAAATGTCTACCAGTACTGTGGTCCAACCTTACATTTTGTTTTGATGCTTTACAGCAGGATGTTTGCAAGAACTTTGTAGGTGCTATTGAGGAGCGTTATTCCCCAGTTAATACATTGCTGTTTGTTCCCTTTTTTGTGGATTGTTACAATAACCTCTTCTTTACAATTATCTGGTATTATTTATTCTCACCAAATGGGTTAAATTGTATTTAGATTTTTACTGTGGGACAATTATTTAATGTGGCAGAAGATCGAGAAGCCTTTGAAATGGTGATCGACAATGTCGGATAACTGTGAGATGGTACGTGAAGAAGAAGATAGATCTGTACAATGCTTCTGTTCCATGTTTTAAACATTTTGCGACTATACCTTCTTCTTCTTTTTGTAGATCTTTCGATCTGTTTAATTCTGAAGCTGCCTCTGGTTAATTTCTTGGGAAGTAGATTGCCAACTATCGCACCTATTTTAGGTGGTCTTCCGGGGGGTCTTGAACCGGGCGGATTGTTTTCTAGGGCAATTTTTGGGAGTCTATTCTCATCCATTCGTCTTACATGGTTGTACCACATCCTCTTGCGCTGCCTTCCCCATCTTACAATATCTTGAATTTTGCACTGCTCTCTAATGTTTGTATTTCTCACTCTGTCTCTTCTTGTTTTCCCCATTATTGTTCTTAGGGTTTTCATTTCGGCAACCCTTAGCATCTGTTTCGTTTTGTTGGTATCTTCGCGCACTTCTATGCCATATGTCATGATCGGTCGTATGCAAGTCTTATAGATTCTAATTTTACTATCTGTGCGCATATACGGATTTGACCAGACTATCTTCCGCAGACATCCTGACAGTGCAGATGCTTTGTTGATCTTACTCCTCAGGTCCTTTACTGGGTCGTAGGTGCTTGATATATCTATGCCCAGATATCTGAATTGCATCACCTGTTCTATGGGGTTGTCCTCAACCACTAACTTACATCTGAGCGGATCTTTTGCTATTGTCATACATTTAGTTTTGTTGGTAGAGATGTTCATATTTAGTAGTCGGCTTGTTTGAAAGAACTGAAAGAGCTGCCTTTGGAGATCATCTTCTGATTTGGCAATAATTGCTGCATCGTCTGCGTAACACACCATACCAATTCTTTTGTTGCCCATTCTATATCCGAGATTAAAAGATGTTACTTTGTTGATAATTTTGCCCATGAGAAGATTAAACAAGAAGGGGCTTAAACTGTCGCCATGTCTAATTCCTCCCGGTGTTGGAATATTTTCAGTGTTGGAATATTTTCAGTGAATTCGTCTCCTGCTCTAACTTTGGTTACGTTGTTGTTATTTAGGTTATGGAGTATCTTTGTTATACTGGTCGGTATTTCATTTTCTATTAATATATTTAGAATGTCTCCCAGGCGAACTCTGTCAAATGCCTTCGTCAAATCAATGAAGCAAATATACGCTGGCATGCCGAACTCTATAGTTTTTTCTTTTATTTGTATGCGAGTATACCATAATGCTTTATTATTTTTAGGTTTTTATTTGCCTGGGTTAGTTCTTTGTATGTCGGGTATTGATCTTCTATTTCAGCTGTATGCACTTCTATCACATTCATTAATGTCATTAATAAGCCGCCTACTGTCATTTTAAAGGAAGTTTCCTGTTCTTACTTGGTGCCCGACGTTAATCTCTGAAACTTGTTTAAACAATTGTTCTTCTTGGTTGTTCTTTCAGTTTTTTTCTATATATCTGATTATTTGTTTCTGGTACTCTTTTTTTCCTTTTTCGTTATTTTTCCCATCACTGATCTTGCTTGTTTATACCCTTCACTCTTGTCGTACGAGGAATTTTGTAGCATGTCATTATAATCATCTGTCTGTGTTAGCGCTAAATTCCTCCTCTGTCTTATTATCCCACAGAACTTCGGTATTTCGTAATGCTATTGGCGTACATTTTTGGTTTTTTTGGATGCTATTCTTGTTCTTACGTTTGTTTTTAGCAGAAAATGATCAATCAGCCACTCTTAGGCTTCTTGCGTCTAAGCAGTTACTACCTCCCTCCCCCCGTGGTATCTACCAGAACATCATCGATCTGATTTCTTGTAATGCCGTCTTTGGAGACCCACGTTTCTTTGTGTTGTGTTCGAAAATTGTTGATTTTGTTAGTACGTTGTAAGATTCTGCAAAGACTATTAACCTTGTTTTATTATTATTACTAACATCATGGAGACTATGGTTACCTAATGTTGGTCTGTATGCTGCTTCGTTTTCAATCTTTGCATTAAAATTTGTTAAGATAATATGAATGTGATGCTTGAGGAAATTAGTTGTCAGTTTTTCTAGTTTCTCAAAATAGTTGTCTGTTACTTGCCCTTCCTTTTCCTTTGTCTCTCTTTGTATAGGGAATAGTAATAATGCAGTTATACTTTTAGTCTGATATAACAGAGCCTTTCGTTAATGGGTTTGAAGCGCACTTGACTGACGCCACAGAACTTTTTTTGACTATAAAACCAATGCCGAACTGGTGTCCCTGTTTACTTTCGCTGAAAAGTACTATAGATTTTATGCCTTCTTCAGTACGCAAAGATAGGTAATAAAGATATTTACAAAACAACTACAGTCAATCAAAATAAACATGAAGAGACAAATGGAAAAGGATTTAAACTAATTTAATGTATCAGTGAAAGACAATTAATAATAAACAGTAGTAATAAAAGTCAAAAACCCTAAAAAGCTACAAAAGATCTAAGAAAGATCAACAAAGGCCAACAGCGACCATTATCATAAGAAATCCAAGGTAAAATTTAAAATCCAAAAGCAGATAAAAACAATTAAAACTAAGTGTTAAATTTGACAAAATGTAGCTAAAAAATACTGTCTTGAAAGTAGACAGAAGAAAACAAAGATAATATGCAGCGATAGAAGATGCATTAAAATCATTCACAGAAATAGTAGAACGTTCAGGAAGAAGCCAAAGACAAACAGAGTGTTTTAACGATGAATACGAATATTACATAAAACTGAAAAATGAAACTTATAACAAACTTTCAATGATAAAAGACCAGTCAGAATAGAGATAAATTTCGGAAACAAAAGCAAAAAATGAAAGAAATACACAGAAAGCTTTATCTACAACATGTCAATAAACAATTTTAATAACAAAGATCTGTGAAATTGTTACCAATAAGCAAAAAAGTAAAACGTTTATTATCAGCAGAATATGAATTTCTCTAAAGACGAAGACGAATAGCAATGCTGAATTGTTGACGATCTATGGTACTGAAAACATCGTCAGACATATTATAAAAGGTAACCGGATATGCGTAAGTCACGATAGCGAATATGGTAGCCAACATGATATCCAACGATCGATAAGGGTCATGGAATTAGAAGAAGAAAGAAGAACCGGATATGATGGACAAGTCATATGGTACAATCAGAGGAAGAAAAAGTGCTAAAGATAGTGCTTTTTAAGAGACCAGATAGTATAAGATCAGTAGGCCGTCTCAGAAAAAGATGGAATGATGATGTTGAATCTGAATAATCTAGGATTGGGGTACAAGAATGGGAAGTGGAAGCGCAATGTCGTAGAAGATCAAGTAAATGCTGCGAAGACTCACCGCGAATTGTTAAGCCAGGTAAGAAGACGAAGACAATTATCAGGTAAAGGGAGTAACATATATGACAAGCACATGAAATTAACACTTTGAACTTAATTACTATTTATAACTGGGAATAAGCCACAATTAAAGATAAAAATACGTTTATTGACGTTTCAATTTCCAATTCGGAAATCGTTCTCGATTTCCGAATTGGAAATTGAAAAGTCAATAAACGTATTTTTATCTTTAATTGTGGCTTATTCCTAGTTATAAATAGTAATTAATTTACAATGCCACAAGAAAATAGCTTCAGAACAACACTTTGAACGTTTATTAAATAGGAATGTCCTCGACTTACCATGAAAGGTTGGGCTAAAGAGTAATGAAAAATAGAGAAAAACCTTCAATCGATCTCTAGATCTGCAAAGCCTATGGCACTATATGTAGTACAATCCCAATGTTAAACTTAATTCAGTCTAGATTCAGTTTATTCTTCTTGGAGTACCAGTACACTGTCCAGATTTATCATGTTTGACCTGTCTAGTTTTCTGTATCTCTCGTAAATTTTCTGTTGTATGTATAATATCCTTTAATCATTATTAAATACTATGTTGATTTTTTTGTTTATTTCACTTTGTAATCAAGTATCTTTACCTAGAAATATTATTTTTATGGGAGAAACCAAACAACACAAGAATGAAAAAATTGCTAAGCTGTTGTATGAACCCGAGCACAAGGCTAGAAATATTTTTTTCTTTTTCTACCTATCCATACAAGCGTTTTATATTTTCTCATTATTTATTACAGAAACAACTATTTTTACGATGCCCAGAGAATCCCTGGATACGATTCACCAATTACAAATGTACCAGCCAAAGATGAGCCAGTTACCACCAATCCAAATCACCTACCTTACCCATTTTTCGGCGACAATCCGTATCAAATCAAAGACGCCACGTATCAAATAAAAGAAGAGGTGACCTACAGCAACTGTAGGTTCAACATAAATCAGAGTTATTTAGGTCCGGACACCGGAACGGATAATTCTTTGAGCCCACCGCCTGTGAATAAGAACTACATGGGTAATCAGGGTCAGTTTGATAGTTGTAGGCGATACGAATTGAGTCCGGTTGGAGGAAGTGACAGCTGTGATAAGGAGGTAGATCAAGCAAAAGTAATTTATTCTTTTATTTATCTACAAATTTCTTTAATATAAAAAGTTTTATATAATAACATTAATGTTTTAAACGCATATTATAAAAATACTATTTCTACTTTTGATTAAATTGCCACACCTTTATCCGCCTTTTAAAGATCAGTAAATAATATGTTTCTCTCCATATTGTGCTTCAACTGCTTTTCTACTGTTTGTTTCAGACAAAATACATTATCTATACAAAAACGATCAGTACAAAAGCCACTCTGATCTTCAACGTCTCCATAACATCTTCAATTCGACTTTTAATTTTCTTCTTGTACATCCTACCGATTAAGGTGTTTATACTAAGCCCTTGACAATTTTTACAAAGCTTTTGTAAAAATGACGTACAGCTGATTTTGTGTTGTTTTTGTTTTAAATAATCTTAAAAAGGGAAAAGGTAATTCTTTTGCCAATAAAATGTTTCTTATGCAGTTTATGCATATTAAATTTGCGAGTTTCTACATTAAAATACATAAAGAATTCACCAAGACACTAGCAAAAAACCCTAATTTTGCAGTAATTTATAAATGTTGATAACTTTTTTTTTGCAAAATGGCCTGTAATAATAATATAACTACTTAAAATTGTGGCACGTTATAAGATAATAAAGTGTACTAAATTTCAAATACATCTACCGCAAATAAGTTGAAATTAATTTTATAAGGGTACATTTTTAAGTAATATTAAAAAACTGCAACATTTTAATAAATTGGTTATTAAAAAGCAGTTTGAAAAGAGACTGACATTTTAGTTTATAAACAATTAGAGTAACTTTGACATTTTTTACGTCACATGCTTCTTAGTATGCTCAATAAAATTCTGGTAAAAAAGCACACTTTCAAAATAAAAAAAAAAACCTATAACAAATGAGAAACAAGATAGTATGTTTTTTTCTAAAAATCATATTTCGATTGTTTATTAACATTAAGAGCTGAGTATTAAATAGATTATACTAATTATAGCTACTTATCTTCACTAAATGCAATTATAATAAAATAAATTCTTGTGTTGAAAGAAAAACTATAAAATTCAATAATAAATAAATGTATTGTAATAATTTATAATTATAATTGTATATTTATATAAATAATATACACTTATCAATAAAATTTTCCTTGACCATGAGTTCAGTGTTCAAGAGTCATGACCTCACCCTGAAAACAAAAATATGGCTCCTTAAATGTTATGTGTACTCAGTGCTTCTGTACTGAGTAGAAACGTGGACATTGAAGGCGAAAACTCTATCAAAACTTGAGGCTTTTGAGCTATGGTTATACAGAAGGATCTTGAAGATACCATGGACAGACAAAGTCACCAATGAAGAAGTACTGCGCAGGATGAACACAACTGCGGATTTGGTCAACATTGTAAAATGCCGTAAGCTGAAGTACTTAGGCCATATAATGATAAATCAAGGCAGATACGAGCTACTTCAATGCATTTTACAAGGTATAATTTAAGGAAAAAGGCCCCAGGACGAAGAAGAATATCCTGGCTTGCTAACCTGAGAGCATAGTATAGAAAGACCTCAATACAGCTGTTTCGTATAGCAACCAACAAAGTCATCATAGCCAGAATGATAGCCAATGTTCGGAACGGACAGGCACCCTAAGAAGAAGAATAAAGTTTTAAATCATAATTGTGTTGCTTGTGTGAGTCCATTTCAAATAGGTAAAGAAATAATAAATAAGACTTACTCACAATCACTTTAATTTAACTATCAGACGACCGGTTTCGCTTTCTACAATATGCAAAGCATCCTCAGGTCTCGGTACAAAGTTAAACAAATGCTGAAATAATAAAAACCCATATTAGGGTGTTGTCTAATAAAGATAAACAAAGTAGGTGTTGTAAATTACAATAATTATGCAAATATTACATGTCTGTGGTTTTATTTAAATGAGTAAGTTGAATAAAAAGGTATAAATAAAGTTTTAATATTTTTTATAAAAATAATAGTAAACTTCAATAACTTTTTAATGAAAAAATTTAATAAATTATTTATTTTTTGAGGATTTTCTGAAAGGTAAAAATAGCGCAATTCTTAATATTTGACTAAACTATACTTATTTAAAAAAAATTGGAGATTCTACGTGCGATAGAAGCCAAGATATTGCAAACTTTGCTGGAGCGCTTCAATTTAAAGTTCCAATCTAAAAAAAACAGAGCCCTACAGCTCTCCCCTCCACTTTTTCGTCGCGGTGTTTTACGAGTGAAGAAGTAAAAAGTTATAACCCTTATGTTAACGGGTTATTAATTTTTACTTAATAGGTATTGTCTGGGTACTTTCCGTTCTCCACTGTCTTCGTATTTGAATTTCCAGATCCCTGTACTTGAAGATCTTTTCGTTTTGTTCAACAGATTATTGTTGTTAGGTATCGCCACATCGATTAGTGTTGTTTGTCTTTTAACATTATTAACTTGTATGAGATCTGGTCTATTATGTGCCACTGTTTGGTCTGTGAGCACAGTGCTGTCCCACTAGAGCTTGTAGTTGTCAGTCTCAAGTATACACGAACGTATTGATAATATGAGAGATGCTTTGTTTGGAAAAGTCCCAGTTTGATGGCTATCCCTTGATGAAGAGTCTTTCCTACGGATTCGTGCCGTTCTATATGTTCAGTTGCAGCAAATGCTGGCAGCTCCCGGTAAGATGTTGGATGGTTTCTTGAACTTGATATCCATATCGGTATATGTCATTTTGGACCTGAGGGTCTTTGACAATACATTTCAGGTAATTTTTGGTTGGTATAACCTGATCCTGAATGGTGAGTAATGAACCTTCTGTTCATTACTGAGTATATTACTATTATAACAATTTTCGTGGAAGTAAATAAACATTATTATTATATTAATTATTTTAAACATTGATCGTTGATACATTGATACGTTTTGATGTAAGAAGTTGATCCATTTATTGCCAGTATTTATTTTTAATATCAATTTGCTAGCTTGAGAAGTAAAAAATTCAATGTTTTATCTCTCTTTATTTTACTGCTTTATCAGATTGATGAAATAATATCTTCTACAGTATATTTATCCAATAAGTAGAAGCGGTTAATGACAATTTTATATTATTTATATATCTTCTTTTTTCTTAAGATTCTTGCAGAAATAAGACTTTCTATTTAGTTTCTTAATAGAATACATAAGTTGACAACACGTGATAAATCTTAGACAGATAAAGAGAGGTTAACAACAAAGTAATAACGGGGTATTTGTAGGGCAAGCTAGAATATTAAGTAAAAAGTCCTCTTTAAAATATATATATTTTATAGTGGGTGTACTAAGTATAATTCTAAATAATTTTCACGTTACCTTCTTTTATACTTTGTATACACTGCTCAACACATTTCCTTATACTTGGCAAGATATCCCAAGAAAGGATTGTGTTTGATTATGTCTTATACAGTATATACAGTCATCTACATAAATTTAATTCCCCTTTTTAAAACGTAGCTTTTATGCTGGCGTTGTATTAATTTTTTGTCTACACCAAAATGCTGAGACAACCGTTACAAAACTAACGCCACAAAATGGCGTATGGCATCTTTCAGATAAAACATTTACTTTTTCTCGTAGAATTGTAATCTGTAATAGAAATGTGTTTTAATTTAAGATTTTAAAATTGCCTCCGCCTAACTTCTTCCAATTTATTGAGACATTGTATATTTAAAGTCTCCACACCATACAAAATAACAGAAAATACATAACATTTTAGTACTCGTTTTCTAAGATTTAGGCTGAGGTCTGTACAACATAATATTTGTTTTATATTATTGAATGCACTTTTACCCTTTTCTATTCTAACTCTGATTTCTTTGGTATACTTGTTTGTTTCATTAATGTTTCCCCCTAAATAGTTATAATTCTAAACTTGTTCTATCGTCTTATTATTTACATCTAGATTGATGTATCTAATATCTTTCTTTGATAACCACGAATTTTGTTTTTTTTTTTAATGTTTAGTGACAGACCAAATTCTTCACTCGCTGCAACAACCTTATCTATAATTCTTTGTAGATCTGTAATATTTTCTGCTATTAGTATTGTATATCATCATATCTAATTTCACGAATAGGTAGGCTATTTTTATGCCTGCTACTTCATCTTCTAATGCTTTTTTAATATTTTCTCTGGGTCCTAAACATCTTTGTTTTGGCATATTTACTACATATTATGTCTAACTGAGTCTGTCCGATGCCTTGTTCTAATTTTTTTTATATTCTTCGATGAATAATCTTTAGGAATACTTTTAGTATGTGGCACATTAGACTGATGGCACGGTGATCGCAACATTGTCTGGCGTTTTTCTTTTTCGGTATAGTTACGCATGTTGAGAGAAGCCATTCTTTAGAATATTTCTGTCGGTATTTCGTCTAGTCCTACTACTTTCCCAGTTTTCATTTCTTTAATTGTGTGTTTTACTTCATTTTCTGTTATTTTTGGTCCAGTCTCTTCAACGAAATATTCGTTATCTATTTTGTCTCGTTTGTCGTTAAACAGCTGTTCTATATAATTGGCCCATACCATGAATTTGTTTTCTGTATTCATTACTGTGTCTCCCTTTTCATCAACTAGTATATTTTGTTTGTATTCTAGTCTTCTAGCTAATTCTTTTATTTTCATGTAAAAATGAAAGCTATCATGTTTATTGTGTAGCATTTCTATTTCATTACTATTTCTTTTAACCAATTTTCTTTTGCTATTCGGATTTGTCGCCGTATTTCGTTTTGTGTTTGCTGATTCAATGATTTATTTTTGTCCTTATATACTCTTTTTTTGTTCTTAAAGTTTAGTATGTCGTCCGTCATACAATCTTTTTTCTTTTCTTTGGTTTTACGTAGATACTTTTTTGAAGGTTCTATTAAGTCCCAGTTTTTGTTGAAGTTTTCTTCATTGCATTCCCCTTCAATCTGTGCGGTGTTTAGACGTGCATTTATTTTTTCTTTAATATTTTCTCTGATTTCTAGATCTCTATTCTCTCTGTCTTCTCTATTCTTTTCATTTTAATTTTCATATGTGCTACTAAGATATTATGGTTAGATGCTATATCTGCTCCAGGTTGTGTTTTGACTTCAGTAATACTATTCCGATATTTTTCTGTCATCATTATATAATCTATTTGATTTCTCATTACCTGATGTTCTTTGAGCATTGCCAATGCTGAGTATATCGAAATGGCCCGAATACGTGATGAAAGGTGGATGAAGAGATTGCTTGAGTGGAGGCCGAGGTTAGAGAAAAGAAGTAGAGGAAGACCTCTCACTCGTTGGACTGACGATCTCAAGAAAATGTCAAGAAATTGGATGAAAAACGCTCAAGATGCTATGTCCAGGAGTGGACGCAAAGGGCTGGGTGATGATGATGTTTATTATCTCTTGGCCATTTCCACGTGTCTATTAGATAATTCATAAGGTAATATCTAACAAATATCTAACAAAAGAAAATTTGAGGCCCAGATAGTCTCGTAGAAACAGGGTATTGATTAGCAAATATATATTTCTTTGATCATCTACCATAAGTAATTGTTACTACATGAACAGTTCAGTTTCCCTTTTATTTGCAAATTTTTTCGATGTTGTCATATATTTAGGTTCTTCCTTATATTTCCTTGTTTTTTATTCTATCTCTGATAGTGATTCCGATCGCAGTTTTATATATTATTTTCTGAATGTTTCTTAATTTCTTTGGTGGTAGTTTATCAAGCGATTTGGCTACATACGTTATAACCTGCAAGCCACAATGACCAAAGATCTTACAATTAACTTACTTCTTAATGAAATGACTAAAAATGTTTGAATTTTCGACATGCTGCAAAATCTAGTCTCCATTAATGTTTATTTTATCCCCAGGTATACATAATTATTACAATTGTGCACCAAAAAATAGCTTTGTTCTCCTAATGACGTTAAACAAATATCAATAAGATATAAATATTGCTTGAAAATAAAGATATAATCTGGTCTCATTCTTATATTTATTTTATTTAAACCTTTATAAAGAAGATCAAATGTTTCCCTTAATTTTTGAGCAGTGTATAAAGCAATTGCAAGTTCCTTGATAATATAAAGCTTTTCATCGTTTTCTACAACACGTAAAAGAGCCTGTAAAATAACTATATTTAATGTTACATAAAAAGACATTTTTATTTTGCAGAAAACAGCCAAAGCGGAGGACTCGCCAGCATTAAGGGCTTTATTATCCAAACCTGCCGGTAAGAAAATTGCATATGATTACGGCGATCTCCACAAACCGGCTAATAATGGCTATCACAAAAATCGCTTTGATGATGGTTTTAGTACTACAAGAGAGGGCAACGGATTCGATGGCGAAGATAAAGAGATTATTGGCGTATTTAATAAAGAGGAAGAAGGTTGCGCCGAAGATAAGATCGCTGGTGATAATTTACAATCTGTTCAAGCCAGTTTTTACCCGTGGATGAAGACATCACACGGTAAGTGGAAGACTTATTTTGTATTATAACAAACCACGAATAAATTGATATCAAAAGGAAGTATATTATTTGTAAAAAGAAGAAAATATGATGATAATGCTTTGTTTATTAAGAAGTTTTAAGTAAATTTACATTATTATGGCCTTCAGTTTAATCTTGTTCAGATCAGACACCCAACACCTCTATTAAAAGTCGTTACAATCTTAAAGCTAACATCAACATATTGTAATTTTTTTTACAAAAGAAATATAGAATGAGAGGAAGCTATGGGTTGGTTTAATTGGATTTAAATTTTTTCTTAAATCTAATGTTAGTATATTTTAATACAATTAATTGGTTTATGAAACTCAAAGTAAATAAGTAACTTAATATATTGGAGAATTTATAAAAGCCACCAATGTCTTTTAAATAATCTAACTCTACAAGTAAAGCTTTGAGTTTAAAAACAAATCTCAAGAAGACAAAAACAATGATTATAGGTAGCAATAATGACCCAAATTCAAATATATTTAGCTGAAGTAGAAATTGAGCAAGTAAGGCAGTTTAATTACTTTGCTTGTCTGCTACACTGTAGAGACTATAATAAAGAACAGAGTAGAACTAACCAGAAATGCTTTTATGAAACTTCGTAAATTTCTGAGTGATCGCAAGTTGGATTTCAACCTGAGGTATAAGAAGAATTAAGTGTTACGTTTGGCATATTCTCTTATATGGAATGGAAGGTGGACATTAAAGGCCAGATCCATTAAAAAACTTTTGTAAAAAAAGTTTTTGAAATGTGGTACCTGCACCGAATGGTGAGAATGTCATGGAAGACCAGAGTCAGAAATGAGGAAGTATTAGGGAGAGCGGGGCTACAGGATACGGAACTTTTGATTATAGAAAAACTTATTTTGGACACCTCTTCTAAGGAAGACGATACACTTTTCAGCAACTAGTGCTAGAAAAAAAGATACGAGGATAAGAGAGGTCTAGGACGTAAAAAGATGTCATGATAATATTAGACAGGAAACCACAGTTATGAAATGCTTCACAATGCTGCTTAAAATAGTAATTTGTAACTTTTTTCATGTTCAGATTTATTATAAAGTAAGTTAAGTTTAATTGAGCTATTTTCTTCCCAAGAATATTACGTCTGTGGATATAAGCTAAATTGCAGAAAGAAATTGAATTGTTGTCTTACACTATTAAAAATCCTATAACATAACGCCTTTCGTTTAAATTACCATTTAAAATTATAGTACATTTTTTCTCTATTAGGTGATACAAGTGCCAAAGGAAGCAAAAGAACAAGGCAAACCTACACACGTTATCAAACGTTGGAGCTCGAAAAAGAGTTTCATTTTAACAAATACCTTACAAGGCGACGCCGCATCGAAATAGCACACACGTTATGTTTAACCGAGAGGCAGATCAAAATTTGGTTTCAAAATAGAAGGATGAAAGCGAAGAAAGACGGCAAGTTAGGTAAGTTGACTGAATAAAAATATTTAGCGTTTAATATAGAAAAAAGAAGTGCTAAAAATAAAGAAGTATTTGTACTCAGTTGGACATTTTGGTGTAGAATAAATTGCCATAATTTTGTTTTTTTAATACATTTTCTAGTATTTTCCTATTTCTAATGCCTACTCCGGTTTATTTTCATTAAGGAAATTTCACATAATATCAAAAAATAAGAAACCCTTCAGAAACAGCTGAAATGTTTAATAGATAATTTACAAATGTTGATCCCACTATGGTAAATAATATTTTAGCGTTAAATGAAAAATGAACCAATGACAGCCTTACATATAATAATAGCATATTTCATTACGTAACTAAAAAATCTGTCATTTGGAAAATTATAAATCACGAAAAATAAATTTAAAGCATCACAAATAAAGTTTTACAAATTAAATTGTAAAAATTATAGCAAGGTATATACTAAACAACTATTTTCTCGATTACATATTATTGTAACAATTAAACATCATGTTTATTTATAGTAATATTAAAAGTACAATTAGTTAATAAGGCATTTTCAAATTGAAACCGTGCAAAAATGTTCCCGACTCTTGATACGCTTTGGTAATTGTTGATGATCCTTTGGCAACCGTGCTTGATTTCCAGCTCCCATGTCGTTTGAGGCATTCTAGATTTCCGCCTCCATCAATTAAAAGTATTGCTGAAGTTCGTCGTAAAGAGTGACCCGTGTATGCGCTTGCATCGTTTAAATTTAAATAACTAGCTACTTTTTGGGCTACTGCGCTGATCGAATGTATTCCCATGACGCTTCGGTAACACTTTCCATTCTGGTACTTGATAGAAAATCGGTTTTCTGTGAAATTTTCTGTGTGAAATTTTCTGTTTAATGTAGTTTTGACCAATTATCGTAAAAGATCTAATTTGTCGTGTTTTACTGTCTGGGATTTCGATAATTATTACATTTTCTTTATCCTCAATGTCCACAGTCTTCATTTTTACCATTTCGTTGGATCGACAGGCGCCGGTAACCCGAAATTAACAAAACAATCTGAAATATTTTTATAATTTAGTAGAGTATACTACATGCTTTACAATATAATTTTTTTTATCTTTAATCCTAAATACAACTTGTCTGGCGCTTCAAACAAAACTTTATCAAACTCGTCTTTAGTGAAAACTTAAGACTTCTTTGCAGTATATCCTTCGCTTGTTTTTTTTTTTCAGAAAGGCACGTAACTTTTAAAATTTGCTTATATCCACATTTTTTCTAGTAACTAACTCATAGGACTTTATCATAGAGTATCGTGACCACATTGTAGAAGATTTCCATTTATTTTCATTTTCAATTATATTAAACTATGCCAGTAAAACGTCTTCGGTAACTTGCTGTACTCCTCTTGTATCCACCACTCTTGAAAGTGCTTTACGCTACCGATACTTTATTCCGGACTTGGAGGGCCCCAAACGTGCTACTGCATCATTAGCCGCGGACTCAATTTCGTTTAGGTTTTCCATTTACGCACTAAATTTGCGCTTGAGGTTGCAACAACAATAAGCTGTCTTTAATAATTGTAAACAACTGTCAAACAACTGTAATCAGGGAGACGCAAATCCTACCGACGACTTGCTTGCTTCGGCAAAGAAGCGACTTTTCTTGACTTGCCCTCTATTAGTTCGGCGCGTAATATCGGGCGCGTCAAGAAAAGTCATGCTTCTCCGCATCATAAAATAATATACTATTTCAATTAATCAGAGCCATTTCCGTACCAATTAAAAAGTATGACTTATTAAACTTATTGTTCTATGATTTTTACATGCTTTATGGATATTTTTCTTAGCGAGTGCAATGAAAGTAGAATCCGCCAATCATCCGTTTTTTCTCCTGGTTCATATGCTGCATTAAAAAATTTGGTAAGCACATGTACATTGTTTTCGTTTAACAACGTTTATGTTTCCAAGCCCGGACTAGAACCGGTTTTCAAATTTTTGAGCTCATCTAGTATTTTTTTCATTTATTGGTCCACTGTATTGTTCTTCTACTATTGTTGGTCCGAGTATTTCATTTTGAAAGAGTTCTTTTATATATTCTTTCCACGGTTGTGTTTTTGTTTCGTTCTTTGCTGATATCTAGACGCTGCCATCAATTAGTTTATTTCCGTGCTAGCGACTGTAGCTTCCAGTCTGATTTCCAAGATTAGATCCAGTGATACAATAGTGTTTTCCAATACCATAGAAGGGCTGCAAAACTTAATGAACAAAATAACAGAAACAAGTAGAACCTATGGACTGGATATAAACACCTGCAAAACCAAGCTAATGATCATCAGCAAACAAAACATAACTGGAGCAAATCTGTACGTGAACCAAATGAGAATTGAACGTGTCTCACAATACAATTACTTGGGAACTATAATCAATGAGTCGTGGGACAATACCCAAGAGATTAAATGTCGCATCGGAAAGGCCAAAAGTGCATTCTTGGCTATGAGCTTTGTGTTCAAAAAGCCATGACCTCACCCTGATAACAAAAATAAGGCTCCTTAAATGTTACGTATATACAGTGCTTCTGTATGGAGTAGAAACGTGGACATTGAAGGCGGAAACTCTATCAAAACTTTAGGCGTTTAAATTATGGTTATACAGAAGAATCCTTAAGATACCATGGACAGACAAAGTCACCAATGAAGAAGTACTGCGGAGGATGAACACAACCACGGATTTGGTCAACATTGTGAAGAGCCGTAAGCTGGAGTACTTGGGACATATTATGAGAAATCAAAGCAGATACGAACTACTCCAATGCATTTTGCAGGGTAAAATTGAAGGAAAAAGAGCCCCAGGACGAAGAAGAATATCCTGGCTTGCTAACCTGAGAGCATGGTATAGAAAGACCTCAACACAGCTATTTCGTATAGCAACCAACAAAATTATCATAGCTAGAATGATTGCCAACGTTCGGAATGGACAGGCACCCTAAGAAGAAGATCCAGTGATCTCATCTTCTTATGTATGTTAAATAAGTCACGTAATTTTTGTAGATTTTCTATTTTACAGCATTTTTATTCAATTGATTTTTGTTGGCTTTCCCTTTTATCTTTTGTATTTCTCTGCATATCTTATTATAGTATATCTTGTTTTGTATACAGTTTAAGTGATACTTCTATTCTCCATTCTTCTTCTTCTTCGCGTGCCATGTTAGAACTATCCGACGTTGGCGATCACCATTGCGAAGGCTTCTCGATCTTCTGCAATGTGGAATAACCATAATAACAATAATATTTATATCCAAGAAACTTGTTTTCTTTCCACACCTCTACGGCCCTCTATTTTGCCTTTAAGCATCAGTTGTAAAATTTTATATCGACTTCCCCTTAGTATATATGTACCAGATAAGACATTTTTCGATGTTTAACAGTCTTTAGCAGTTCTCTGTCTTTGTTGACGCTCCTTAGTACTTCTTCATTAGTTTTTCTTGCTGTCCAAGGTATCTTCAGCATTCATCTATAAATCTACACTTCCAATGCTTCAATTTTATTCATAATCGATACTTTTAGCGTCCACACTTCTGCACTATACAAAAGTACAGACCAAACATAGCACTTAACCATTCTTTGCCTTAGTTCTAAACTGAGATGGTTACTGCAAAGAAATGACTTAATTTTCATAAAAGTAGTTTAATTAATTGAATTTTGTTTTAGCCTGCCTGTAATATATTTTGTAAACGTTTTATAAATTTTAGTGAAAATTGTAATTGGTCGGTATTTTTAGGTATATGTTTACTTCGTTTACATCTTCTTTCATCATTTTTGTCATTTTTATGTCGTATTCGTTTGTTGCAGGCATCACTTCAGAGCTCACGTTATTTGTTTGATCTAGAAAAATTTGTGTTTATTTAATAAAGGAAATAAATCAAATAAAAATGTTTCACGTTACTAGTTTTTTACATTTGCCACATTTTAGTCTGAATCAGGTTCAGAAAAACAATCTTTGAAACATTCACAATTGATGGTGGTATCGTTTGGCATCGTATTTTATCTTGTAAACATTTAAAAAATTTTGACACAATTTACAAATTTGTGAATGGTTAAAGTCTCAAGTATTTTTCATTGATCAATTATAACATCTATATTTTAATTTAAATATTTTTACTGAAATCAAAACGCTGAATTATTTAAAGTAGTAATTTTTGTGTACTCTTAAACAAACAAAATTTGTATGTTTTAATTTGCACTAGTAATTAAAACAATTTTATAGAACATTAAATCAGGAGTAACAATCAAAAATTCTATTTCAGCTTTCCTGCAGCAGGATTTCTCCCCTTGGACGACCTCAGCGTAAGCCAAACGATGTACCCCTCCCCTTCAGATGTTACCAATCCCTTTTATCAGAATTGCGTACAAGAAAATCGGAAATACCGCGGGAGAATTTAATGTCGGATGAGAACAGAAACTCGTTTAGAAATGATCTGGCCAAACCATTGACTGCAATAAAAAATATTCCAGGTCCTCCATTAACTCCCTGAAGACCTTACATTACTGAATTTTTTTTTGGAAGGAGCTTATATCAAAACATAAATAGTTGAATATCCTGTTAAAGGAGTAGGAAGTGATTTATTTATATTAAACGATATGTTCAAATTTTTTTTTAAATAACTTGCTTTTTAGCAGGTACAAATTTAATTTTAAGCGGGTATAAACTAAAAATGTTCCTATAATATGATCTTAAAAGACATTTAGAGTTCAGTAAAGATATAAGTCAACTTAAAAAAAAATTACAATATTCTAATAGACAACAAAAATCTAATTCTAAGACACACGGATTACGTATTGTTTTTGATTAAATACTTCAAAGGAGTTTTAATTCTCTATAACTGTAAATAATTATCATGGTAAACGTTCCAGTATTACTTTTCATATTTCCGTTTCCTTTTGACTTGCTTAGCTAAATCTCTCATTTAAGTGTCATGCCTAGTGATTGATCACGCAACACCTTACTCACCTTTCAGTTTCATATAATATATCTGATTGTAGCTAATATATTTGTGAAATATGCTCTTTTACTACATTTTTGAATTAATTTTCCATCGTATATCTTCACTGCATTTCAGTATTTTTTACAAAAACCATAGTGACATCAAAATCACACTAAATTTTGAATATATTTTGGCTTTTTAGTGTTTTAGCGCATAAACTCGTGCAAATTCCCGAACCCGTATATTTCTCCGTTCTTATTCATCGCAATTTACTCACAAATTTCCAATTCAAAACTGTTCATTCAAGTTAAATATTGTACTTACTACTGCATTAAAATATTGTCTCTGACTGTCATGTGATTTGAACCAAATACCCAATTTAGTTAGTTCTAAGGAAGTGAGCTTTTATGCCAAAAATATGTGCTCATGCTATTCATAAATTGCCTTTTAGAATATAAACTATTATTTTTAACAACTCTCATTTTATTAATTTGAAGATTTAGACTTTCTGTCCCATTCCAATAATTACCTGCCTTAATACTAGATTTGAAGAAAAGAAAGAAAATTACTAGAAATATAAAAAAAATATAGTCACTAGATTTTATAGAAATATATTTATTATAGATGAGGTGTATATTTTTGCCATATTTTTTAATAAAGATTGTATATTTTTTTATGTGTTTTCTTTATTACCTTTAGAAATACGGAAAGCCATAAAAATTCGTAACGTATAACCATAAGCTCTTTAAAAAATACGAAGTTTAAACTTGGAGAAAAAAGAAATACCTTATTCAGAGCAATGAAGAAGTAGATATTAATCTTGTTTTAGAAAAATCTATAAGAAGAGAATGCTAGCATACACGAAAGACATCAACCTTATGGGAAACTCAACTCCTTGTCCTCAACAAGGCGGACTTAAAATCAATGAAGAGAAAATAAAATACATGTGAGAATAATATCACTTAAGAAATAAAAATCAGAATCCAGGCTGCAATCGCATCTATGTGTGCGCTGAATAAGCTTATAAAATTGAAAAGCCTAACAAGAAAACCAACAATCTTAAAATCCATTGTCAGACTTTGATTAACATATGGATGCCAATCATCGACGATGACTAAATACTAATGAAAAAACTCCACAAAACAACATAGAATGGGAACAAACATAAAAATAAAACAACTTTATAGTAATAATGATATTGTACAAGAAAATAAATCCCAAAGACTCAGCTAGAGAGGACAAATACCTACAAAGATTTTCTAATGAAAAACTTACAAAACTTGTTTGGGAGGAGGTTCCTACAGGAAAAAGACTAATTAGACATCTCAGAATGTGATGACAATGTCCATTCATCTCTAAAAAATTCATATTCCACTGGACAACAGATAGATCGAGGACGGAAACTTAAAAAACAAGTTGTTCTGCTAGCCAAAGCCTAACCAGGATTGTAGCGGTTCATGATACTGATAATGAAGAAATAGACCGAGATAGAGATGGGAAAATTGTAAAGGCAAGTTGTAAAAAGAGTGTAACGTTATAAACGTCACATCTTTATTCATTTATATTTAAATAATTATTTTCTTTTAATTTATTTATTGATTTATTAATTCCTTTACCTCCAGTTTTCGTTCTTACTATGTTTTATTCAAAAAGTAGTTCCCTCTGTCTTTTCTTTCTCTTTATTTTTCGGTAGAATAAATATTTGCCTTCTCTCTCTCTGCTTGGTAGACTAAATATGCTGTTCTATGTTGACAAACGCTAATTTCATCATAGACATACATCCTATGACATATGTGCTAACTTCATTTCAATCTCGCACTTACTTTCAGTCAATCAGATTTTCTGGCATAGTGGGATATGTTTTTGTCTATAATTAGAATTTATAAAAGAAGGTAAGATTTATTATGAGCTTCATTTAATTATTTGCAGAATTTTAATGGGGTGAGTACTTTCATTGTAATCTATATTCTACAATTCTGACAGCATTCTCAATATTCGTAACCTCACTTCTTTCGAACCCACGTTTATCAATTATATGCATGTAGGAATCTTAACAGAATTTAACTTAGTAATAATAATTATATTTCGTTTTATCCTTGCCATCTGCTATTTATTTCCTTGTAATTTTGTAAAATAGCAAGGAAGTTAAACACCTTTTGATGTTCTCTAACACAGGCTGTTATTGCATTTTCATTTATCAAGGAAAGGAGTTCAAGCATTATTGGCTGTATAGAAGACTTTATTAAGAATACAATTCCTAAAGGCTAACATCGTTTGTCGTGAATCTAGTCACACGATCATCGATATTGAGATGTTAAAAAAAACACCAATGACGAGTACACTCAATAGTATCAGAGTTTTATTCATATTGATTGTTAGGGAAATACGTCTTCTATATAGAAATACGTTTTTTTTATTATGATTAAAATTGAAAAACTATTCTTCCGCCGGTTTCGCTGTTAACAAACTTTTACAGCACCTTCAGATCCGCAAGAAACAAAGGCTAAAACGTATATTGTACGAAAACAATAGTGTATAGAACAAAACATACAATTATTTGAGTAGTGCAGATGACTTAATTAATAGTTATAGTCATATAAGGCCTTCTGTGTACTTTTAATCGTAATTTAATTTTCTATAAGAGCATTCCTATTCGTTATAGGCTCTTCTTGTGTTCTTCGTAGCTTTGTCTCGTACATTTTTAGACATAGGCCTCTCAAACTCCTTCTATCGATATCTATCCTGAGAAACATACTTTTAATTTGGAATTTTTAGGATCTCCCATGGAACAGCAAGATGCACGGCACATGACATATATGATTTGACAGTCCTGTCATCACACCAATACCACAAAAAATTGTTATTGTTATTTGTTTGTGTTTACATGACTGCGGATACTAAATCCATTTACCAATGTTCCAATTTTTACTAATGTTTCATTAGTCATTGTTTCACATAATATATTGCAATATGTGCTCACACCAGTAACTCTTTCATTACTTTATTTCTAAGTTTGTAATGCTTTAATATTTGTCATCCATCAAATAATTGTTTCTACAATTAAATTTTTATAATGGCCGTCTGTGCCATTGTCGCATTTGTTTGAATCGGTTCTATGTCATCAAAATGGTGTCCTTCATCGATATAGTACGTAGACTGACAAAGCTATGCAACCTTGTGTTTTTGCAAAAATGTTTGCAGAAGGTTTGATAAATGTATATTAAAAAATATTTCAGCCGCAGTGAATATCCAAATTTGGCGGATTGTGGTTCTTGACATTCTTTACGATTGGTTACGATGCCTACAGTATGGAGACCTGTACAATTTCGTCAACTTAGTGAGTTTGGTAGAGGCCGTATAATGGGACTTCAGGAAGCTGGACTTTCTTTTCGAGAAGTTGCAGTTAGAGTGCAAAGAAGTGTAGACACCGTGATTAGGTGTTGTCAGGCATGGCTTCAAGAAAGCCGTACGCAAAGAGCAAGGACCACTGGACACCACCGTAGAACAACAGACCGTGAAGATCACCGCCTAAGATTATTGGCCCTAAGAGACCGTTTCTCCACTACTAGCTCCATTTCAAATGAATAGTTTGCAGAACAGGGAAGACCTATTGGCATGCGAAGTGTTTACCGACGAATGAGAAGTTTTGGCCTGTTTTCATACCTACCACACTGGGTCCTCCCTTTAACTCCAGAACATCGCCGTAATCGTCTTCAGTGGTGCAGAGAACGGTCATT